AGAGAGAGAAGGAGGAGGGAAAGAGAAAAGGAGATGCCTATGTGGGTGTACCGCTGCAATCCATCGCACCAGAAACGTTCCTATTCAAGGAAAAACTTGCGTCAGTTGATAATTATCCTTAACAGTTATTTGCGTGTGCGCTTGCCTCGATACGTTGAAAAGCGTGCGCCTCATTAGCATGCTCAATTAACTCGCGAGCAGGAATTTGCGCCAAGATCCGAGAAGGGAGAAAAAAATTGCGCGCAAGGGCGGAAGTCGTGGCGCGTTTCGCGTTTGGGGGATTCTTAATGTATTCCTTCCATTTTTTAGAAGCGAGACAGTTACGATTCTCTGACCCTTAGTCACCCCCGAACTGCTGGGAACGACGAGGGTGGACTAGTCGCAGTTACCGGTGCCCGCTGGTGGCGGAAGCGAAGGGGCTCGCGGAGGTTCCCGGATAAAGGGCAAAAGGGATCACGCGGAGAAAACGCGAGGGGACCGCCAGATCGTAGCGCTTGCATAGGGTGTTCGAGACCCATAACCACCCCCTGGGTTAACCGATACCGGCAATTATCAACGCGTCTCGGTCACCGTGATCCCCCCTTGTCCTCCCCCTCCTCTTTGGCGGCGCCAACTCGTGATTGCGGGACGCGGCAGTAAGAAAATATGGACGCAAATATAGCGAGATATTTATTGCATCGTTTGTGTCGCGTGATCTACGCGTTTGTGAATTTGTGAATGTAATTCCGACGAACATGCATTTCAAAGGACACTTTATTCGCACTTTCGAGCGCACGAATAAGATACGGGTAAAGTCATGCGTGTGTCATTTAACACGCACGTACGCACGATATTAACATTTTGTCTTCGGGCGTTATTGTCAGTTGCCAGGACGATTTAGGACGATTTAGACCGCATGCAACTGTACGCGCGTCTGCACATGAACGCTTAATACCGGCGAAAATAACGAGAACCAATTTCCCCGTCATCGTCCACACAGATGAATAAATTTCTATGGCAAGGGCAGGCCGATCAGGCAGAACGGGGATCTTTCATGTCGCGCCGCTCTGTCTCCCGATATGTTCCGTGCAATTAGCTAGATGAGAGGCAACATTACGCCTTTGCAGCACGTAATGCGACCGTTTAGAGTCCTTCGAGTTGAGGGGTGCTCGAGATCGTCGCTTTGATTCTTGCTAGTGTCGCCAAGTATCGGCTGCACGTAATTCGAGTAAGTGCAAATATAATTGCCGGCGAGAGACACGCGATTCAGTTACGAATTAGAGAGAGAGAGAGAGAGAGAGAGAGGGGGGGGGAGAGAGAGAGAGAGAAAAAGGAGATTTAATTCGATTTAATTTAATTTAATGGAACTCGCGAGCGCGCTCGCGTCCCCAGATGCGTATCGTTTGTTTCTCACATTATAAGGCTAACGCGTGTGCATCGATAAAAGGCGACGTTGGCACGCGTGTCACCACGTCTAATCAAACATCAATTACGTACTCAAACAAAGACCGCCCGAGGGATGGTGCTCGACCGGCAAACATTAAATACATGCATCACCCCATAAGACACCCTGACACGATGACCGACACTTCCGTTGTCGATCTCCTCGACTATTTCGGTGTTGGTGCAGATTACGCGACGCGGCAGAAGTCAGAAAGTGAAACAGACGTGGGACGATTTAAAGAGTCGTGCACGCCGTCGCTCATCAGCGTTCGTCGTCGTCAACGTCGTCGTCGCCGTCGTTAGTATTAAAAAGCTGGGCTATGCCGGACCGACTTTAACTCGACGTTCTATTACTCAGGAGTTAGGATACAGCTAAAATACGACGTCAAAATATATCACCGCGGGATACCGCGTGCGCAACGAAGCGGACGATTTTAATTTTCAACGAGGGGGGTACCTTTGTGCCGCGAAAATTTGTGCTTCGCGCTCGCGTCGAAATTTCGTCGCGCGCGTGCGTGTATTCTCAATGTTCTCTAAAGGGGTGGGGGAGGGCTGAAATTTCACGGAGAGAATCCAGGCTCCTTTGTCGGCGTGTCTGAATCTCGCGAGAATTATAGCCGAGTTAGATATAGGTGCGCGGCACGAAATGGCCTGACTTAAAATCTAAGTAGCCGTGCATCCCCCGGAGCGAAGCGGCCCGCAGATAGGGGTAGATAGAGTCAGCCTAGGAGCCATAGAGGGTTGCCCAGGGTGGTCGCGAGGCAGGGAGGAGGACCGCGGGACGACGACGGGTGACGGGAAGAGGGAAGAGGGAGGTGAGGTGGGATGCTGGGATGCCGAGGGGAGCATCCGGGATCTCGGAGGGTAGCGGGTACGTGGGGCGGTCGGTCGTCATGGATACGCTCCCGGCTAACCCTGTAACCGCTCCTCCCTCGTCATTCTACATTTTCGCAACTACCCGCCGCCATCATCGACCCACCATCTTGCCTCGAGCCCTACGAGTCCCGTCAAAATTTTGAGACGATCTCTGGAAACGCGATTGTCATCGATGCGACGACGAACGTTCCTCCCTTAAATGGGCGACGAGCGTTCAAACAAAAGGACGGTGGTAATCGCGCCGACACGTATGACCGCACATGTGCGAGCCCGATAATTCTCGCGATGCTCGGGAACCAGCAGGAAGGACGAAAAGATTTAGGAAGTTGCGGCGATAACATAATCGAGATACGGTCGGCGGCGTCGGAGAATAACGCTGACCTTGCTCCGCCGGCGCGAGATGAATTAACCAACAGCTGCGGAAAGCGTGTAACAAGGCGGGAGAGAAAAACCGCGAAGCTAGCGCGACCAACATCCGCAATCAGGATCCCGAGACGGGCGATCCAGGCTGTGGGAGATCGATCGATCGCCTACATAGGTATGTAGGTAGGTAGATAGGTAAATGCGGAGGACCGCGTCGCGCCGTTAAATGCGCTCGGCGAAAGAGAGAGAGAGAGAGAGAGAGAGAGAGAGAGAGAGAGAGAGGGGGGGGAGGAAGAGAGACACGAAAGTTTCGAGTCGCCGATAAATTTCGGGCACTGCGAGCAGGATATTGCTGCGGCCGTGGAGAGCACAGTCGACGAGCGTTTTGCTCGGCTGGCAACGGTGCAACACCCTCGTGCGCAATACTACTACCCCCGACCGTATTCGAACACCCCCGTCCCCTCCGGTACCCTCTCGTCCTTCTCCTCCTGCTCCTCCTCCACCTCCTCCTCTTACTCCTCCTCATCCTCCGTCGTCCTCCCCTTCCGCTCCGCCGCTTCCTCGCGGCCCTCGCGGGCGTGGGCGGTAGATAACGTGATTTACACTGGCCGGGTAATTAATGTCCTCGGCGACCGGCGCTTTAAAAAAGCAATCGGAAATCGGCGACAACGAAGAGCAACAGTCAGCCCGCCGCCGCCGGCCGCCGGCTGCTGCTGCTACTACTGCGAGATGACAAATTATTGCGCGGCCTCGCGAGCGCGCGAGACCGTTGCACCGCTTCTTTTTCCTTTTTCTTCACTTTTTTTCGTATTTCTCCCGGCGCAAGAAATCGCGACGAGATGCTGGTTCTTCTGGTGAATTCGCAGAGGGACATTGTCGTGCCCCTCTGTTATCGCCCGCACTTCTAAGCGCACGACGGTGTCGGCCGAGCACCGCTGTGATCTCGCTCGGTTTTGTATAATATGTAAATTTTGCCATAAACTCTGAGACGTGAATTTTGGCGCGACTGCTCGGAGTTTGCGAAAGCGGAGTATATGGAATTTTTACAGCACGATATGGCCGACACACACGCGCGTTAAACGTAGGTCGTTAAACGTCGGCGACTCTCTCTCTCTCTCTCTCTCTCGCCGAAATCTTAATATCGCGCACGCCGTCGCAGGCGCGTTATCATTGTGGGAAAATAGCGAGGGCAAACGCGGCCCTTGCTCTCATTAACCGCATTACGTCATCGCGACGCATATTAGAAACGATCGATGGTATCTCCGCGGCACTTACGCCGGTATAAACTCGCGCGTAATCAGGTTACGTGTCTTTCGCACGCGGCCCGTGCGTGACCTTACGCCCGGCGTTACGGCAACTATTTCATAGCGCCGCGGCAATGAGTTATACACTCCCATGCGTATCTCACACCTGCCACCCGTCCGCCGTCTCTGATGCCGGAGAAATATCGCGAGTATCGCGTTAATATTTCCGCCGCTCGAACGACTTTCACGCAAGACGTGCGCCTCAGGCTGCGAAACTGGAAGACGAACTGAGCTTTCTGCGAGAAAAATATTAACAACCTCACTACCGATTCGCCCGTTAATTGAAGGGGACAATTGAAACAATTGAATTGAGAAGGATCTATTTCGCGAAAGAAATGTTGGATCGTTTAAAATTATTAAGGACTGGATAGTTGCAATTACGGTAGAATCTGATTATGAGTAAAAGATTGGGGGATATATAAGTTAAGACGTATAAATTAGGACTGATGTGTGTTTCATTATATTAGTATAAGTCTGGATATTTTGTGTGTGCTGCTAGTACGACTCGGGCATTTCTTTACTCAGATGTACAGAATAAAAAACGTTCTTGACACAATCATGTATGATTTTTCACGTTATTATAAAGCGAGTACCCTTTGCTCAATATTTCATATTTCACTTTGATATACATCATGATATAAAAATGTATCTTTATAAATATTTATCTCGTGTGTGCATAGAATGACTGGAAAAGAGAAAGTAAGTAAAAGGAGAAATAATATTAAGAATAAACAAAAAAAAAATGGTACTCGGTATTGCGCAAGTATCAAAATACTCGGTTGATTGAAATCGGAATTTGAAAAATACCCGGGTGGTACTGAAAAGACTCAGATATCTGAGCAATAGGTTAAGGTACTCATGTACCTGAATCGACTGATCACTGAGCAAGATTAAAAGAAAAGACTCAACCTGCATTTTTCATCCTAAAACTATCCATGTCGCGCGAGAGAAAGCCGTTCGAGTGCGTTTACCAAGGAGGCGCGATGACGAAAATCCCTCACGGGGATCAGAGTAAAAGAGGAGGACTTCGCTTACCGGTGATGGAAGCTGTGGGCGAAATGGCGGATGGATTGGCGCGCGGGGGTGGTGAGAAGGCACCCGCCAGGTACCCGCCGCGATCGGCGAGGGCTTGCTTCGCCTTGTCGACGCTCTCCTTGAGCCGTTGAAACGTGCTACCGCAGGTGAGGCCGCGGTACGGCCAGTTCTCCTGCTTGACGCCGGCCGCGGTTACACCGGCGGCCGCGGCCGCGGCTCCGGCGGCCCCGGAGGCTCCCTTTAATTCGAGCGCACCTGCGTACGAACAGCTAGCGCTGTCGTACATCACCAAAGAGCCCCTGCAATACAGAATCGCTGCACTATACGTGGACATACGATAGCTTTCACTTCGGAAATCGACGCACTTGCCGTGCAGAACATCGACAGAACCGCGCGCGCGGACACGGCGCGGAGATTCGCGTCCGAATCATTCGTAACGTCGCCACGTCGCGTCACTTCGTGCTTCATCGTGCTTCCTCGCCATCGTGGTGCAACTCGACAATGCAACGAGGGAAGACGCGAAAAATACCAGACATATACGTTTTCAAAGGAATGTCACTGAATTATCGGCCGTACATCACGGCCGCGCATACGCCCGTTGTAATTGCGAAGAGAACGGCCGATCACGCTCGCGTAATCGGGGAAACACATCGGGGCGCCGGGGCACGGCCGTCATCTACATACATCATCGGCGCGGCCTCGAACTTACGATCGTCAAAATTGCGAGAACGATCCTACGACGATGGGATTTGCATGAGACACCCACCGGGCGATCGTATCTCGCCGGCAATTCCGAACAGAGAGAGAGAGAGAGAGAGAGAGCGCGGAGATATTGAAGCTTGTCGTTTATCGCGAGTCCGCTTCCGTCTAATCTTCAAAATCTCCCGCTTCCGTTATCCCTTCCCATATTACATAAATCATTATTCAAACGGGATGATGCCGGACACAATGTTGGCCGCTCCGCGCGCGCGCGCTCGCGTTGTCGATTCACGTGTAACTCGCGCAAACACGTGCGCGCGCGCGTCTCGTCGTGCTATTTTCGACACGAGCTGACATTAATAATGCGCATTCACACACGCGCTTATTTGTGCTTACCGTTTCGACTCGCGTCTCTCTAATTGCGCTCCAACTCCGACACCACCGACATAACCTATTCATGCTCGACCTCGTCGGCGCGCGTATCGCGCGCTGTTTACTTTCTCCGGCCGTTCGATTGTGCATTTTCGCGTGGAATTTCGTACGTACGTGCGCGCCGAGCCTACTTGCGAACACTCGACAGAGTGCGATCGTTTTTTTTTTGTAGAAAACCGCCGCGCGCGGCATCTCCGTCCGGCACGTCCGTTACTTTCCCGGAAACGTAGATAATCGCTCTCAATGCAGATTTCATATTATAAATATATAGCACCGCTTCCCCCGACAGATGGCGCTAGTTACACGAGGCCCATTTTTCTTATTCTAACCGCGTCTAACCCGTTTTCATCTCTCGTTCATTTACCTTCAGTCCCGACTTTTTTGCTCACGGACAGATATCTGCGTACGCGCGGGCGCGTTCCCCGCTCCCGACACGCCGATGGAAGCCCCGAGAGTGTCAACGCGGAGTGAAAACGCGCGGTGAGTAAAAACGCAGCGAAATTCTCTCTTCCCGTCGCGCGCTATCCCGCGGAGATATCCCCGTGGCCGTTGGATATTGCGCGCCACGCGCTGACATTCGATCGGGATGGTTAAGGATAAAGCACTGGTGGGTACATCCGGATGTCCAGCGAGTATTGAGGTCAATCTAATCACAAAACTGTCACACAGCCACGCGATGTTCCGCGAATGGCGGCGAGCGCGCGCGCACGACCAGCGGATCGCGCCTTTGCGCTCGTGCTCGACAGTTTAAAAGCCAAATCGAACGCGATCGATCGCTCACGTCGCGGACCCCGCGCTCTCCGCGCTTGGATTCGGCCGGTCGGCCATTTTTACGCTATTCCGCTACGGATTTCACTCGTGTGGATCGGATAACGGCCACGTGAAAAACACGTACCTTACGCCAATCGTGCGGCTCCCATTGTCGCGCATAATTCACTCATTCGTAACGTCCAGCGAGGCGAACGTGTCACGTCGACCGACCGCGCGCGCGCGCGCGCTCATCGCGCGAGATAATTACTTGACGATCGTCAATTCGTCCATCGGCCAGCGCGTCGGCGGCTCGTTTTCTTTTTCTCTTCTTCTCTCAACGCACTCGACACACGCGCGCGCGCGCGCGCGCGCTCACGGTCACTGCGAATATGTGTCTTCTTCTTTGTCCGGCGTTTTCGTCAGCACGGCACCACTTGTCGCGAAAAATATGTGAAAATAATCGATCGGAAATCGCTTCGATCGGCTTCGAGGGTCCGATGATAGATGCCCGGGCGGAGGAGGCTGGACCGCGATATCAAGAAGAAGGTACTCCGGGCAGGTTGTCTCGCGCAACTGCGGCCGCCGCGGGCAGCAAATTGCCTGCTTCCGGGCCTCATTACATCACTCTGTTACTCTGTTAACGCTCGCCGGAAACCCCTCTGCCCACCTCGTCTAAACTCTCGTCGCATATATATCTACACACACCATTTAAACGCACCGTCGCGGACGACATAGGCGCGCGCGATTGCACGCGAGAGGGAGAAAAAGCCGTCGCGCGGACCCGGGAAAACGCTTGTCTGCCGACGATGACGGCCGTGCGACGGCCGCGTCTCGACGCCGCGCGATCTTTATTCCCCGTCGAGAAACCGAGCTCTCCTTAAGAAACGCAAACCGGTCTCGGGAAAGGCGTTCGCGTTGTGCGAAAAGAGAGGAGCCACCGTTGAAGAGCAGGTTTCCAGCGAGAATTGGTGACTCTTGTACGAAATTAATAAGTAAAAAATGTGAAACGAACAGCGTCGTCCTCTCTCGACTCACAACTCACGACCTGTGCGTACGATGCAGTCCCATAATTTTTCGAGACAGATAAAAAATGAATTTTATAGCGTACGATTTTCTCGATGGAAACACGGGTGGGATCGCGGGCAACGAGCGAGTGTACGCACACGTCACGTTTCTCCTCGCGAAATTAACGTAAAATTTGCATTTCTCTCTTTCAAGAGGGGGGAGAGAGAGAGAGAGAGAGAGAGAGAGAGAGAGAGAGAGAGAGAGAAAGAAAAAAGCAGCGGTGAGCACGATGCGTAACACAGTGAAGCGAGAGGGGACGACCTAGCACGGCGAACACGCGCGGTAATTTCGCGCTGGTCAATGCGTGCGCCCGCCGTTTAGCTCGTAAAACGTGCGTGGCGACAAACGCGGAGAGACAAACGCGTATACGTCATGCGTAAGACTCCGTAAACGAGTCGCAGGGTTGTATCACCTCCAACGCGCTCCGCGATGTCCCGGCGTTTCCGCTCACGTGAGATTCATTTCCGCTCGTAAGATCGCTCCCGAACGTTCCTGCATATTCCTTGCATCACGTCGACATTTATCGAGCTTTGTTTACTTTATTTATGCGCTGCAATAGCAACGCATATAGTCGTTATCGGTGTTGTCTAACGCGGCTTTCAGAGAGGCGCGCGCGAACGATCCGCGCGGAGGAGCGAGCGAGCGAGCATCGGGCCGATTTTTCGAGGCGAGAAAAATCGCGCTCGGGAGATCGCGGCGGATCGCCGTAAATTCGCGCACACACCAGCACAATACGATCGCGGTCGCATTCGGTGTTATCGATATTGTTCCATCGGCGAGAGACCGCGTCGCGAAGCCGGCGCGACGGAAGCGCGCGGCCGGCAATCCTCGGTTTCCCCTCTTTCTCTCTCTCTCTCTCTCTCTCTCTCTCTCGGCGTGCTTTCGTCGCACCTTTCGACGAATCTCCCTTCGTCTCGTACAAAATTATTCGACTTGAATATCGCGCACCGTATACAAAGCACGTATCGCGCGAGCCACTATCGCGAAGCATCGCGCACTTACCGTCAGTGCGGGGGGCTACGTGGTGTCTTGCTCGGCACTATCCGATCCAGCTCGATCCCCGGAAATATTCCCCCCGCGATTGCGTCGATCACCGGCCGGCCGAAACCGCGCCGGTGTATACCGTAGGTGCAAGTAAACCGCTCCTCGCCTCGCACTCGGTCTCGAGCACGTTGAGAATTTTGCTGAAGTTTCCCGACGTGTCGCGTTGGCCGTCGACAGACTGACGACGCCTTCTCCACACGTTCACTCCGTCTCTCCGCTCACTGTGTGTCCCTTGGGCCGTCTTGGGCTTTTGCGAGAGAAATCGAACCGATCTCGTGGTCTCACGGATGCAAATCGCGGCACTAAGAAGACTCGCGCGATCACGCGGACGAACGAGCGAGCGAGCGAGCGTGAGGAACGCGCGCGAACGTGGTGGTTACGCACGAGACTCCGCGTCAAGCTCGCGGATATATACACGGGGGATTACGAGGTGGTGGTTTCGGCGGCTTCGCTCGCTCGCGAGGATATCCCCGAGAGTTTGTCAGCGCGCGTGGACCACCGTGGCGAACTCGGTCGCGGTGCGACGGACGCACATTTGGCAGCGTCGTTATCAGTCGCGGTCCGACGATTGGCTGTATCGGAGCCTGCGCCGGTACGTCCTCCGCGGGGGAAAAGCGAGCACGCGCCCGAGACAGAGAGAGAAAGAGAAACGGTGAGACAGAGAGGAGAGGGTGGCGATGAGGGTGGAGAACGGAGAGAGGGAGAAGAGGACGCCGGGGGTTTCCCGCTCACCCCCGGACAAGCTCTCCGACGCGAAGCGGCTCCTTAGAGGCGGGATCATCCACCAGACTCTGCTCTCTCTCTCTCTCTCTCTCTCTCTCTCTCTCTCTCTCTCTCTCTCTCTCTCTCTCTCTCTCTCTCTCTGTCCTCTCCCTTCCCCCCTCTCTTTCTCTTTCTGTCTCCTTCCGTCGCTCCGCTCGTCTTTCTCCACCCTCAGTCTACTCCTGGTCGCTCTCCTTCGGCCTTACCCCGCTTCGTGCTACGAGCGTAGGTGGGAAGCGGCGGAAGGCTTCCCGCGGAGCGTCATACGAGACGCGCGATATCCCACGGTGCTTTTATTATTATTGATGCCGAGGATACCGGTGCGCGATAAGCGTTTGCGGAGAGACTGCGAGAATGGATTGACGCCGATCCGCATAGCGCGCGCGTCGTCGGGCTCGATCGTGTCGACCGGGCTGATAGGTGGTAGGTAGGTAAGGCAAGGTATCCGTGCCTTCTTCGCGTGCGGAAGGCGCTGAAAGGTAATAATAAAATACACGTTCCTACAGCGCGCGATCAGGCGCCGTCAGCGATTTTCCGCATGCGGACGCGACACGGACATACTTTCGGTACACAGCGGCAGCAGCGGTGAGTTATTTTCTGGGAAGAGAGTGAAAACGCGCGGGGATAACGACGATGAGGATGAATCGATCTTCGCGATCGAGATTTCAGTGAGATAAATTTCCTGACTAATGCCGTTATTATTGCGAGAAAGAGCGAGGGAAGGGAAGGTTCGATCTTGTGTGCTAAATTATTCTTTCTCTGAAAACAGAAGCAGAGGGAGAGAGAGAGAGAGAGAGAGAGAGATAGAGGAACGAAACGGATAGCAAATTCGCGACTCTGCGTCTGAAAACTCGTCGTTGCAGTCGGTCGATGACACGGTTGAAATGTCCAATTTGTTTGATTAATATATCAGCGATATCGCGTGATCTCTCTCCGTGCGAGAGATCGGCCCGCCGCGCGAATGGCGAGCCGTATCTGCTTGTACTGAAAATTATCTGATCCACGCGGTGGAGTAACAACGGGGGCGCGACAGGCCGGACACGTGCCTGGTATACGATTTTCAAAGGGCAGCTCGGGCATGGGGCGGCATATATTCATACGTATCGCGATAATAATGTATCGTTATCGCCGCCTTCGTTAACCAACTCGCGCGCGCTATCGACGCGCTGCCGCGGCGGCGGCGGTGGCGACTACGGCAAAATCGATGCTTTGATTTAATAGAATTCCGTTTCGTCAACGCCCGCATAAAACCTCACAGTTATTTTCGCACTCGCAATGATTGATATTTCCCGCTCGAGACGCTCGCTTACGAAATTACAAACCTGGTGCAATGTGGTGAGAATTTTTCGTGGGAACGATCAAATCGGACTGGATCAAATGATCCAGTGATAAAGATGATCATGCGATAACGATGATGTGACTCTGACTTTATGTATACCCCCGTTTGTTGCTGCGTTAAAATCGCAGTGGAAGCAACGAAAGTCGGAGATATTTTACTCGAGCTTTTTAAGCTTTAAGCAAGCATTCGATTCTGCCAGTTGAGCGGAATTGTCGAAACTATCCCGTGGCATCTTCACATGCGCTCCAGGCACACTCCTAACGACGGTCATCGCCGTTGTTCCGCTTCCTATGACCGCCATGAGTGATGTCGCAGCTCTTCGTTCATGCGTAAAGTTTCCGATCGTTGGACGAGAGAAGCGGTGTCAATCGTGCGAGAAACATCAATGCATTGTACGACTGATCGTGATCCGTGGCGCATTGTCATGTAAAAGTCCCGCCCCGACCCGATATTTTTGTTCTTTCGCGAACAACAACAACGTTTTGCAAACGGGAAGAACGAGCGCGCGACGTATCCCAGTGAAAGGAGAACGCTGCCGCGCGGCCGACGTAACACAAAAAATTACGCTCTCCGATGCTGACGCTTTTTTGACGGCCAGCAGACAGTTTGTCGAGCGTTCGCTCTTGCGACTCTCGCTCTGCTCGCGAAGCTCCCTTCGAGAACTCACGGACGCGAAACTCGTGTGTCGCGAAAAAATAATGCCGTCCTCGGCGACGTCTTCAGCAACGATCGGCGTCGGGTTAAACGCTTATCACGCACAAGGTCCTTCGTGTATAACCGCGAGGACGAGTCTATCGGCGTTTAGCCGGCTTTCGTGAATGTAAACTAGGCGTTTCCTGCACGTATCGTACAAAGTGCTCGATTCGCTGGTCTTTTTTCACCCCGCGCCGATCGATAATGCCATTGCAAACACCCTGTATGTGCTCGGTTAATGTTAATGGCAGGGGCCGGCACGGTCGAACGGGGTGGGTTGCCCCTTTGCCCGTGAGTTAGAGCTTCCTGAGGCTTTCCTCGCATCCACCGCACTAACCCCCGCCCCGACTCGAGTCCTGCTTGGCTAATGGTAAGGGCAGGAAATATCAAAAGTCGTCTCCGCGATCGTTCTTTTTACCGTGCTTCTTCTCTCTTTCTCCGCATTCCTTCCTCCTCCTCCTCCTTCTCCTCTTCTTTCCCCTTTTTCCTTTCTTTCTTCAAGCGGACAGGCAGCTGGATACCTTTGTGACGCGCGACTTTCGGGAGAGATAGGGGATGTTACGTTTGAGGGAAGTTCGGTGTAGATTCCAAGCGAAAAAGAGAGCTGAGCCGACTTCGCGATATCATCATTATCATCGTCGTCGCGAGTTATTATCCGACTCCATAATAGACAGCGTGAAGAAAACCTTGAATATCGTAGCGAGAAGGCACCCTTACACGACAGAGGCTTGAAATATCGCGAGGCTCTTCGCGAGGGAGGGTGCAGCGGGGTTAACACGCTTATCGTGCGCAAAACGCGATCGTCGAAATGATAAAAAAGGGAAAAAATGAATGTAACTCAGGAGAGCCGCGAATGTAATCACCGTTCGTCACGAACACAACGCATTCAACAGGTTAAAGCGACACATTAAAAAGAATGCGAATTTATTCGCATGCTTAAAAATTTCTCTTTCATCTCGCGTGGGGGGAGATTCAGCGGTGACGATATTCGGCGGTGAGAACCGGACAACCTCGAGCACCTCGTCTCGAGACGAGGCAAACCCTTTGCGTTCGTGCTCATTCTCAGTTCTGATCGGTCGGTCGATTTCTCCTTCTTTTTTTTCTTGTTTCACTTCAACAAATCAAATCAATCGTCGTATGTTCGACCATAAAAGCCGCTGCCAATTAAGGTAGCAACGCGTACGGGGCGGCCGCAGCGGTGAAAAGGCGCGTACAATGCGGCCGCGCGGCACGCTTCATACGTAACGCACGTAAATTTGACCCGAGGGAATCGCCGATATCGCCTGATTTAATTTGTTGCAATTAGGGCAAGGGTCGCTCGAGCGCACATCGATGCGGGATAAAGGAGTGTGAGAAGCGAGAGAGTGAGAGAAAGAGAGGAGATAGATAGATAGGTGGAGAGAATGAGGAAGAGAGAGACATAGAGAGAGAGAGAGAGAGAGAGAGAGAGAGAGAGAGAGAGAGAGAGAGAGGGAGAGAGAGGAAGGAAGACAGTCTCCACCCGGCTCACCGCGCCCTGCTATTAATATCAGTTAACGACCCGATATGATCACTCGTCTATACGCAGACAGGCTATACAGCCGGCCGGCTGCTACCGTTTGAGCCGAGTCATGATTCGAACCGTGTCGACACCGGCGGACCATAAGTTCGACCGTGATTCTGGCCCATCGATCGCGAGCTGACTCATCGGGACGCGCGCGACTTCACCTTGATCGATAAATTCCGCGAATCCTCCTAGAGAGCCGACCCGCCTGTCGGACGATCTACAAACCGAGACCGATTCTTCATCCTTGCTGATGAATAAAAATCACCTCAAGAGACCATGTCGCTCATGACGAGAGAAATAATTCCAAGCAAAGAGCAGGGTTGGGAAAGTTACTTTTTAAAAGTAATTCGTTACCGTTACCATTACTTTCGGTAAAAAGTAACTCGCTACTCGTTACTGATCTTAAAAACTAACGCGTTACCGTTACTTGAAAGTAACGATATTTTATTTTGTTACTTTCCGTTATATTTTTTTGTTGTAAATCCAGGATTATAAGAAAGGTGCTAAGACAAGATATAAATCGGACATAAGACGATTAGAAATATATATATATATATTTAAATATTTTTATTATTTTATGTTATTAAGTATTGTATTTAATGAAAAGTTTCTTAATTAGTGGATATGAATTTAATATTTGGACATTAGTGCCTGTTGACTTGAAAAATCTTTGCCATTCATCATAGGCAGATTTCTCATTTGATGTTTGCTATTTAAAATTTAAAAAGTCATTGTTATTATTGTGCTTATCAGACATCAAAAAATTTTTAATTGAAGGAATTCCTTATAAATCTTCTAAATACGTTTGCGCAAGTTTTCTTCTTATCTTCAGCTAACCAACTCAATTTGGGATGCAAACAGCTGGCAATTATCAATTCTTCTTTTTCGAATGTAATACAAAACCTAAAGTTGAATCAATAAAATTAAATATGAACATATTGATTTTTCTTTTTGATCAGATGAATGTTGTTTGATGAACATATGTATTAATCAATTACACCAACTTACCTTTCTTTTAAACCTTTCTGTATAGCTAAGGCCAATGGATGACAATATGTGAGTCCATCTTTATTGGTTCTCATTAAATTCAGCATAAAACAAAAAATGCATAGAAATTAAATACAATTAAGTTTAATTTTATAAAAATTAAAAAGTAACGATTAAAGTAACGGACATTTTGTTACTCGTTAC